AAGGAAAATTTATTCAGTGGCATTTGTTAAAGATGGTTGGGAAGACTTTATTTAAGGGTGGGGACTATTGCAATAGGCGTAGGGGGATCTTGCAGTGTGGGAGAGAGATTTAACTTCATTCTGAATACAAACCAGGAAAAGTGGGAACTTATAGCCGAGGAGGTGGGAGTGCATGAATGGAAAATGACTAAGAAACATGAGGGTAAGGGGTGGGGGACTCTGGCTAAACTAACCAGACAGGATTTTTGCTGAAGGCAGGCCAGGGTGATCAGGGCATGGTGGAAGATGACGATCCTCACTTGTGATCAGGTAGAGGATCCTCACTTGTGATCAGGTAGGCGATCAGGCCCGGAGGAGAGGGGATTCTGGTTAAAACATTTTAGCAAAACACTTGATCAAACTGGATCACAGAGAGATGAACACAAAAGAAGACCAAAGTCAGGGCCTTGTTGAAAAAGAGCTCATAAGAGCCTACTTAGAGTCTGGTCAGGACAGACGATCTTTGTATGGTGTGTAATTTTATTTTTGTGAAATTTTTGCATTTTGGAGCTTGTGGTGATTGCTTTAAGAAAAAAAAAAAGCTTTAAACATTTTCCTTCCTTTTTATAAGTCCTCAGGGCCTCTTAAGACCCAAATTTCTGCTTTCAAGAAATCCTCATTGGGTTATTGTTGTTACCCTAACAACTATCATAAATTAACATTTCTGTGTGTTAGGCACTGTTACAGGTTAATCATCCCTAAGACCCCTGTGCAGCTAGGTACTGTGATTTTTTTCCCCCCATTTTGTAGGTGAGAAAACAGATGTGCATACATTAAGCACTCACCTTATAGGAGCAACTAGCAAGCAGGATTTGATTCCAGGATCTAAAGTACATGCTTTTATGTCTAGAAACTTAGTTTGATATGAAACCAAATTGTTAAAAAGATGGCAGGGGTAAATTTTTATTTTTGTTCAAGCCCCTTATATGATTTCCTGTAGGATCATCCTGGCTTATTAGATGTTTATTTTGTGGGAACTTGCACGGCAGAAATTAACCTATGACTCTGTGTGGCTTGCAAGGTGGAGGTCCTCTAATAAAAAATGTGAGAATGGGGATTTATCAAACAGAGCGATTATGGAAGAATTATTTGCACTACCAGAAAATCTAGTACTTTATAAAGGATTTCGATAATAGATTTCCTTAAACGATAAGCTGTCCTGATCCTTCACCTCAGGGCATTTGAAGTATTAAGCAAATGAGATGTAATTAGCCTACAACACGGTATAGGCTTAATGATTAGGAATGGAGAGTTAGTTAAAGTAACTGCATTCCCCACAAATTTGCTTAAAATGACATTTTAATCATATACATTTTCTAAATGAAGTAGTGTGTTTTGGCATGTTGTTATCAGAATTGCTGATCAAGCTACAGCGTATATATTTCCAGGCTGCTACAAATCTGCAAACAATTTCAGAGTACAGAACTGAATTAGAAATTTTGTTTTTTTAGGTGTTTTATTTTCCCATGTTTGTATTCCAAATGGAGCGCAAGCACTGCTGAAATACATGAATGTTGGAAGTGTCTAATCAGTAGTGAGAGGCCGCCTATCTGCACCCAGTTCCCGACATCTGTTCCAATTTGTAATTGGCTGTCACAGCCGAGGCTTTATGCAAAATGCTCATAACAAAAATTACTTTTAAATTGCTCATGTAACCATATGTCTTGGATCATGCACTATCTTTGGCTTCTGCGTATGTTATTTTTCTAGTATTTCAGGGCTTTTTTTTAAACCACTGAGGTAGAATTGAATTAATGTGCATCAGGGAAGGGAATAAAAAACTGGGTCTAAGAGACTTTGCCACAGTGAGAGTAACTTAAGAAAAATAGAGATTTAGCTTTGTTTTCTAGAAGAATTAATGTGCATCAAGGAAGGGAATAAAAAACGGTCTAAGAGACTTTGCCACAGTGAAAGTAACTTAAGAAAAATAGAGATTTAGCTTTGTTTTCTAGAAGTAAATTAGCCAGAGTTAGTTTAGCCATATAATTGCACGGCCAAGTTAAATGCAGGGACCTTGTTTCAAAAAGCAGGAGAAGATTGTCTATTAAAGTTACTAAAATATTTCCTTTCTTCCACAGATTCTCAACTTGTGATGGTGTTATTTGTTTTTTAATGTGATGAAGTAAATTAAAATTTTAAATTATTAACATGAATTTTGCCATTTATCTTTACATTGTGCAATGCTAGTTTTAAATGCAAATACGGGCCTTCAACTCCTAAGCAGAATCACAGATCACACAATTCATACTTTGTTGGTGAGACAGCACGTGTATTTCATTCTTGACAGAAGAGTGGAAATGCACAAAACTAACTCCTCTTTTTCCTTCACTTCTTGACACATGGACATTCTATAACTCTGCCTCAGGCTTCCGTACGAGTGAGGAAGAAGGGAGAAGCATGGGAACTGGGGGTTGCTCCAAGCTTCCCCTTTCCTTCTAGGTGGCCCTTTTCAGCATAAGTGGTTGGCAAATACGGAGAACTAACATGAGTAAGAGAAGATACTATAGGATTGCTTGGTCGTTTGTGTTGCAATCTGCATGGAAGCGAGTTTGGGTTTGCTTGAACAGTGTGTCCTCACAGATCTGCAACATGCCCTCTTCCTCAGCCAGAGATGCAGTCTGCTTGCCTTGTTTGACCTTAGAGTCTTGCTAAACCCCCTTGTGTCCTGGGTCCCTCCGAACGCTATGCTGAGAGGGCATCTCGACCACTGTATGGGAGTGGAAGAAACTGTAGGCCTGCCTGTTGTTCCTGTCTCCTCTGCTCACACACAGGCTTTATCAGCCCTTCATACTGCCCTTAAGAAACCCAGATGCAAAGAGAAAACTATTAAGAATTTCAAGATGGTGACAGCAGGGCATTAAACCAAGCATGAGACCCTTCTGAGCATGGGGCCCTGTGTGACGGGGCATGTTGCCTGCCCATTGAAGCTGACCCTACCTTGGTGACCTCCTCTACAAATTGTGGTGATAATAGTATGTATCAAGTAGGATTGCCATGAGCAGTAATGAAGTCACAAATGTAAAGTGCTTAATAAGTACCCTACACATAGAAACTACTGAATATGTGATACTTTCTTAATACTTACATTGATTTATATCCCAAATAAAATCAGGAAATGTATTATATTCCTACTAGGGACCTTAGATTTAGGTTAAGCATTCCTTGTATAAGCTCCACTAAGCAAGATATGCCTTCAAACACAAGACTCTGAAACATAATGAATGTTCCCTTATCTGTGTTGTGGTCATGAGGCAATTATCAGTAAGCAGGCAAAGCTCTAAGGTCGGTTTGAGAGGTTACCTAGTTTCCTTTGTGTAGTGTAATTACTGTAGCAGTTTATAGCAAATAAGGCTGTGTGTGGTGTCCAGAAAAAAACAAACGCTCAAGTCATTAAAAGTGGCTGAATTGCCAGGTTGTCTCTAGCTGAGAATGAGGTCAGTTCTGTAAAGCCTTGGGTAGAGAAGGCCTCTGTTCCAAACTCATAGAGGGGAGACATTTAAACCCAGAATGAAAACAAAACAAAGATGTGAGTTCTGTCTGAGTGAGCAGGGGTGAACTCTTGTTGACTGCAGCATCCAAAAGAAATTAGGTGTAGAATGAATTTCATGATCCAAAGTTACTGAAGAACTATTGTAGATAATAGTCATCCATCAGTTCAGTAGAAGTGCTTATGAAATGCTATTTAGTATGCCCAATGTATATTTGGCTTATTTATGTATATTTAAATTGATATACACAACTCAAGCCTGCTCTGGTGCTTTCCAGATTTTAAGGGCATCAAAACCATCTTGGAAACATCAGTTCAAAAAAAGAGGATTTGATAAATTATTAGCTCCTGATTTAGTGCATACTGATTGTTTAAACATCATTTTATTTAAAACCTAAATTTTTTTTAAAGATTTAACTTATTTATTTTTACAGAGACAGAGCACACAAGCAGGAGGGGCAGGGAGAGGGAGAGAGAATCTCAAGCTGACTCCACCCTGAGCACAGAGCTACAGGGCTCGATCTCACGACCCTGAGATCACAACCTGAGCCAAAACCAGGAGTTGGACGCTTAACCAATGGCACCACTGAGGCTCCCCTAAAGCCTAAATATTCTTTTTAAGATTTTATTTATTTATTTGAGAGAAAGTGGGCAAAAGCGTGAACACAAGAGGGCTGGAGAGGCAGAGGGAGAGAGAGAAGCAGACTCCCTGCTGAGCAGAGAGCCTGATGTGGGGCTCGATCCCAGGACCCTGAGATCATGACCTGAACCGAAGGCAGATGCTTAACCGACTGAGCCACCCAGGGGCCCCAAAGCCTACATATTTTTAAGAGATTCTCTTTTAATTTATTTTCCATCAGCATATTAGATGAAAGGTATACCAACCTGAAACTGTGACTTTGTTTAAACATTGCTCACAAAAATGATTGGTTGAATATGATAACAGGCTGAGAAATTATGCAAATAGGATAAAAATAAAGAGAACATTATGAACATTCATATTACTATGGAAGTGAGCAGTTTCAGATCCCACAGCAAGTGAGATCCTGTTGTGTCTCAGGTGTCTTATGCAAGTATGATTTTCCTTCTCTGATTCTGAAGCATCAGGCTGACTCCTGTGAAGAGTAGGATAACAAAATGGATATGATTGGATTTTTAAAAAAATCTCTTTGCAGAGGGAAGGATTGATGGAAATGTGGCACAGAATCTGTGTCTAGCAAGATTCAAGACTTCTCTCCCTGCCTCCTGTCCATTTGGTTTTGAAAATCTGGATTTAATTTTCATTTTAAAAACTTAATGGACTGAACCGTTTCAGGAAGTATTAGCTTTCCACATTCCTGGGTCCTCTCATCCAGTGGTGCTGTGGTTACAGTGACTAAGGCCCGGGGAACATTGAGTCAGGACATGGGTTTGCTGTCGTGAATGTTGCTCCCTCTTAGAGAATTTTACTGATAAATAATGTTATCATTTCCAGATGCGGAGCCTAAATATCTGATTGTTGTGCGGCCTGCTCCTCCTCCAAGTCGAAAGAAGTCATGCTCAGGTATATTTTGTTCATTTTTCAGATTTTACTAACTTTAAGCCATGCCTCTTCATTTCCACCAGTGGAGATCAAGTGCCTTGGGGATGCCTTAGGAATGTCGATAAAAATACATAACACAGCAGGCCCCATGTCAGCAGATAACCCTGCTTGCAAGTATTACATTCTGGTTGTAGACTGCTTGGGATCTTATCCCAGCACCACTACCTACAAACCTGAGGAATTGAGGCAAATCACTGAACTTCTCCGTCCCTCCTTTCTCCTGCATACCAGGGTCATCGTGAAGGTTAGATGAGTTCATGCATGTGTGGCCTCGTAGCCCAGGGCCTGGCCCATATCACGTGCTTTCTTAGACTTAGCTCCTGTTAGCCTGAATCTACTTTGCATTGTGTCAACTCAGGCCCGCTCTGGTGCTTTCCAGATTCTAAGGGCAAAATCTAATGTCTAACTTTTGTTGAGGGAGACTGTTCACGTTCAAAAGCATCACTCCTTTATATGTACGGTCAATGGGTTGGAACATGGGGTTCTACTTTACTCCTCTCTCTCTCTTCAGACCCTCTTCTATTTAGTCAAACATGAGAGCAAGGACTGCTTTCCTAGAACAGCAGCACAACGCCAAGACTCCCAGGGTGAGGGAGACTGGGAACAGGAATGTAAATAACCTATGAATAAATGAGTAGAAACATGTTCTATGTGATTAAAGAAAGCTTAAAATCTTACACTGTCCCAGTTTCACTACTATCCTTCTCAGATCAAATAGGCAGGACTTTGCTGTCAGAACCTAAAAAAGCTGGGAATATGCCTTTACCGTCTGATATCACATCTCCCTGACTGTAGATTACTGATAAAAATGTTCTGTTTTTCCTTTTCATTTACTAATGCAAACTGTTCTTAGTATTTCCTAATCATGTTTATCTTTTGTAGTACACTAGCTGTCAAGCAAAAAGGATGTCTTTTGTTTGTTCTATGTTTCTAGCGGCATGAAACGGGTTGGGGGAGCATACAGATCTTCAAATACCCTGAGCAAACAGGCCCTTTGCAGTTGTGTATTTTGTACCTTCTGGATGCATCAGCCAAGCCTGATACCAGAAATTTGTTGCCACAGTGCCCTCCCCTCCTTTTGTTGGTTTTCACTTCTTTTTAAAACAGCAGTAAATAGTCAAGCATTTTGAAAAATACAAATTCCTTTTCTTGGCCTCCTACATTCTCCCAAAGCATGAAGGAAATTCCAGTGACTCCTTATAATTTATAATGATAGTCAACACTTCAAGACTCTATTTCAAAATATTTAATAAAGTCAAGAAGTAATTCGTATGGATCCATAGGATTCTGGCTTCATGTTCATCAAACTATTTCTCAATACAAACACAGAAATGTGCAAGGGACGTCAAGAGAGTGCTCACACCTTAGTTACACTTTATAACTTCATTTGGGAACTTCTATGACACTGGTCTTGAAATTATTTTTCCCTTTGTGATGGCCAGCTCAGGAAACTGTTTCATCTTGCTCAGGGTATAATACCCCACCTTTCCTCTCAGGCAGCAAATGTATTTGTTTTTGCAATCTGCATTTGAGAATGATACAATGACTGAGGCATTCACTTTGATTCATTTTATATCTGCATCTGCCACATGAATTTTAATCATTTTTATATTAAGATCCAAACTTAGTGAAATAATTATTTTATGGTCATGTAGGTCTTAGGTTCCCTTGGAGAAAGGAAAATGTATCTTTTTGTCTCTAAAGGGCATAATCATACAGTGTGAGCTATGCCAATGATGTAGTAAAGAAAAAAGAAAAGAAACCTAGATAACGATTCAGAAGATGGAAATTTGAGTCTTGACCTTGCTCTTGGTGTGGCCTTGGATACCCTTGAAACTTCTCTGGGCCTTATTTTTCATTTGTAGAATGAGATAGTTGTATTACATTAGTGAAAACCAACTTGGGAGGGGGGAAGGGATAGCAGAATCCCTTCAGGCCTTTTTCAAACTACATAAACCCCTGCCCCTCGCCAGGTTCTAATCTACCCCCTTTGGGAGTCAGACTTGGGTTCTTGGAATCACAAGAGGTAGAAAATTTTATGGAGAAGGATAAAAGCGTGTTTGCAAATAAATAAACAGCTATCCTTGACAATTATTTCAAATATCTTTTTTTATTATGTTAATCACCATACATTACATCATTAGTTTTTGATGTAGTGTGCCATGATTCATTGTTTGCGTATAACTTTTTCAAAATTCAGCTATGTTACCATGAAACAGTTGGCCACCACTAGGCTTACATATATTCTGGGCTGAGAAGGTTTTTCACCAGAATAACAACTCACAGAACTTAAATCTATCAGAGGCAGCAAGGATGGCACAATTTTAAAGGGCATGTGGTTCAGATAACTTTCACTAAGCTCGTACAAGCTCGTACCTTCCTACCCTATTAGTTCGTACTGCATTAGATCAAAATAACACAAGTTCTTCCCGTAGCAAATACAACAGGTGTGGTCTCATGAAATGAAAGGGGAAATACAATGGAAATAAAAAGAATGCTTTATGTTCTGCATAGTTTTATTAGATATCTTATTGCATTTTTATGTGTTTTACAGATTTTTTAATGAGCCAGTGTTGAGTTCCATGGCAAAGGATCTTCATTGCTTTTTTTCACTGACCCTATTCCTGAAGTTCCAAATATTTTTGAAAATGCAAATACCTTTCTCCCATATATGAGAAAAGAATCTAAAACGGTTTATCACCATCACTTGGCACTGCCCAAATCCAGTTCGGCCCATCCGAACGACTGTACTTCCTATGTCATCCCTACTCTTCCAGCAGTGTTAAGAATGAGTAAAAAAGAATGCGTATACATTTTCCATTTAGACACTGTAAAAAAAGCCTTGTTGTAATAGTAGGACAGGGATTTTACACTTCTAAACTGGTTATAAAAAGGAATATAACTTATAAGCCAGACATTAAGCTTTGTTGTCTCATCTTTGATGTTCTTTCACACTAATTCATAGTCTTGGGAGAAGGGGGAAAACCAACACGCTTTTATTGTATGTGTAAAAGAAATGAAGTGAGCAAAGCATTTGCATTATTTATTTCACTGGTAATAGCCACGGCTCTCATATTCATCCCTAACCCATAAGAAAATAATACCTAAGTATGATTACATATAGTTTATATGCCTATGTTACCCATATATGCTTTCATATACATATGCATATACATACATACATAAATCTCAAAATGATATTTTGTTTGGTTTATGCTTAAATTCATGGGCAAAAAATTGGTAATATTTGTGCACTCCGTGAGAAGAAAAGGAACTTGATGCTTTCGTGCTCTTTATCATCATCCTAAGTCATTTTTACGCGTTCTACGCCAATCATAAAAATATACTGTGTTACCAGAACTAACCTGCACATCACCTCCACAGGTAAAGCGCGCTCCCGCAAACCTCTGCAGCTGGTGGTTGGCACTCTGACACCAAGCTCCGTGTTCCTGTCTTGGGGTTTCCTCATTAACCCACACCATGACTGGACGTTACCAAGTCACTGTCCCAATGACAGGTAATTCATCCTAACAAAGGATTTTTTTTTTTTTTACCTGAAAATTCGCTCTTTCTTTTAGTAGTGTCTGTACATGCTTTGGAAGAATGTATAAATATCAGGGGCATCAGCACGTATGGATCACCCATTAGCTATACAGCTTGTTCTGGGTGTGAGACGAAGGAAGATACAAAGTGAGGGTCCCTACCCTTGAGAGAGTTATCGTCTACCTGAATAGAAAACACATGCAAGCATTTTTTTCTTCCCAAAGAATAAAGTACAAGGGAGAATGAGCCAAACAGCAAGCGGGGACCATCAGTGAGAAGAGTAATAAAAGTTCAGAGGGTGAGGCGCAAGGCAGTTAGGAAACATGGTTAAAAGTTGGAAATGCTGACCCTTGGTTTGACAGTTGAAGAAGTGTTAGAAGCAGTAGTTCTCAAAGGGTGGCCCCAAACCAAGCAGCATCAAAATCGGTTGGGTTCATTTCTCAAGGCCCCCCTCCGGATCTACTGAGTGAGAAGCTCTGAAGGTGGGGCCCAGTAATCTGTGGCTTAACAAGCCCTCTGGAAGATTCTGACGCCCTCTTACATTTGAGAATCACTGGTTTAGAGAACTGGAGAGTAACACACAGGGCGAGATGTAGACAGAGGAACAGCACAGGTTTGGAGGTGGAGCTCCTATTCCTTAGCAGGACAAAATAAAAAAATCTAAGTATATTTTTAAATGAAGGCCATTCATCCACCCAGCACATATATTCGGCATGGTCTATGTGCTGGGCAGCGTACAACATGCTGAAGCTGGGAAATAAAATAGTTGTTTATCATAAATATTTACTACATTATCTTTAAAATTCAGAACTTTGCATCTGACAAGCATTCCAAACTTTCAAGCCTCAACCAAGGCATTTCATTAATTTTTTTAATTTTAAAAAGACTCAAAGTGATTTTTTTTTTAAAGATTTTATTTATTTATTTGAGAGGGAGAGAATGAGAGATAGAGAGCACGAGAGGGAAGAGGGTCAGAGGGAGAAGCAGACTCCCTGCTGAGCAGGGAGCCCGATGTGGGACTCGATCCCGGGACTCCAGGATCATGAGCTGAGCCGAAGGCAGTCGCTTAACCAACTGAGCCACCCAGGCGCCCAAGACTCAAAGTGATTTTTAAATTGTAAAAGTTTGATTTCCTTTCTAAATAAAAAAATATGTTGTTGAGGTATAATTTAAATCCAGTACAATGCACAGCTTAATCAGTATCCTATGCTCCATCAGGAAATAGAACACTGTCATCCCTCCAGACAGAACTTTCCTCAAGAAGCAACCACTGATGTGATTTCTTTCCCTGTAGATTAGGTTGCCTAATCTATAGTTACACATAAATGGAATCATATACTATGTTGGTTTTTTTGTCCATTTGTTTGCATTCAGCATGTTTTTGGGTTTCATTGATAACATTGCAGGTATTAATAGTTCATTCCTTTTTTTTTATTTTTGAGGAGTATTCCGTTATGTGAATATTCCAGCATTTATTATCTACTCTCTTGTCGTTGGACACCTAATTATGTTTTGTTTTGGATTATTATGAATTTAGACTTTATAAACATTTTTGTATGAGACTTTGTAGACATATCTTTTAATTTTTCTTAGATAAATACCTAGGAGTGGAATTGCTGGGTCATGGGGAAAATGTATATTTAAATTTTTTTTCTGCCTGACTTTTCCATTTACACTCCTACAGGCAATATGAGAGTTCAGATTGTTCCACATATCCTCACCAGCATTTCATGCTGTGAACATTTTGCATTTTCTCTGTTCTAGCACAGCAACATCTTGTTAGAGTTTTAATATGCACTTCTCTTGTACTAACAATACTGAGCACTTTTTCATACATTTTTTGGCTTGTTCTCTCCTGTGTGGTGTTTTATTTTTATTTGTCTAAATTGAATTCAAAAGAAGGACCTTTAAAAATGTTTGTAAGTTCTCAAGAGTACCTTTCATATGACTTTGATTAGGAAATCTAGACTAAGAACAATAATAGATTTTCCTTCACATGTTCATAGTTCTGAAGGAAGAAATTATTGGAAAAAGCCATGTAGAAGATATTGCCAAAACCAATTAAAAAAAAAAATAAGCTTGAGATGTTTCAAAGAATCTGAAATGTTCCTTTATCACCCACCACTAAGTCTGTAACTTATTTTGTTTGGAAAATGGACTCTTAAAAGAACATGCTTTCTTGTGATAATTCCAGCTTTACCGGATTGGTCCAGGATGTCAGGGCTGAGAAAATTAACATTTATGGGTTGCTTTCTTATTCCTTTTCATTTTCTTTAGTCTCTAATTAAAAAAGACCAAAGTGGGGTGGGAAAGAAGAAAGGAAATTTGGTGCTCTTGCAGCAAAATGCAGCTGATTTTAATAGTTTTTTGCCTTGCTTGATAAATTCATGAAGTTTGGTGACGTGCAAATTCACAGAAAAAGCTTTGGATATGATTTCTTCTCCTGTCCTCAGACTTTCCCTCCAATTTCACTTGGTCCTACCCCTTCTTGAAAGCATTTATCTGATGCCGATTTTAACTGATGGATGTTGCCATAGTTTTGTAGCATAAGGAGAGGAGCAGATGATCTGGTAAAGCTAGGCTATTAACAAGGCAGTTGATTAGAAGACCCAAGCTACTCAAACCATGCATGTACCTCTCCCTCACCCCCTTGCTCACACACTCTGGCTTTGCTCTTCTCATCAAATAGAGGGAGTCATGCCCATCAAATCACACTAGTCAAAATCAATAATTCTACTTAGAATAAAATTTTTTCAAAGATTCAGTAGTAGCATATCGAGATGCTTGGAAACTTTCAAATGTGAATGAGTGGGACAAGCAAGGTACCCTTGACAGAAATAGGGGGCTCTTAGGACAAAAGTAAAAGGGAAGAATTCAATGGTGATGCCTGAATCAAAGCACTTGGAGTACTTGTGGATTTCATTTACACATGCCTCCTTTCTTCCTAGTTAGTACTGTTAATAAAGAGCTGACATTTAAAGTCTTGGTGGAATCTGAGAAAAAATAGTAGTCCTTGTTTAAAAGTTCTGGAACTCCTGTGCATGTTATAAACACCCAGATAAATCCACCAGGATTCTAAATCAATGTAATTAGAAGCAGACTTGGAGAAATCTACCCCTACGTGATGGTGGTTTTTTTGTTTGTTTGTCTTGTTTTGTTTTGTTTTAGAATTTCAGCTAAGCCAATAAGTTAGAATAAGGAGCAGTAGCTATAGGGAATGATCACTTCTTGAAAACTGGAAGATTAATATGCTGAATTTTTCCTTCAGGAGTACCTTTTTAAAAAATCATCGGAATCCGAATGCCCTTGGCTTGCTACAGGAACACCTACTGGTGTCATTGTAGTCCATCGGATTCTATATTGGCACCCTGTGTAAAGTCTCTGATATAAAAAAAAAAAATCAGTTCTCATTGATTCATACAGCTCCATTTATCCTATGAAAAGCAAATAATTTATTGGGAATTTTTTTTTCTTTATACTTTGATTTTGGACTTTCTGTATCCAAGTCCTGTGTAGTAAGTTTCCAGGGAGAAAACTGCTATGCTTTTAAGTTTGGAAGTATTAATAGAGTATCACTTTATCCTTCGTGACACGTGGCTCTATACCTGTTTGCACAGGGTCCATATGGGTACCCATGTTCTTAAATCCTTTTCTGCATTCACATTGGAAAGTAGATGTGCTTAATTTACAGTGTTTATTCTTAATAGGCTTTGAATGGAAGAATGTACACATTTGTGCCAATATATCTAAAGACCAAAGAAAGCTTTCCAAATTGGCGCAAATGAAGAGTAAAACATGTTTTTAACCAAAATTTATTTCCTCATTAATAGCTTACTTTTTCCTTCCCATGTTTCCAGCTTGTTAAAGTGTTCAAGATTGCTTTAGTTCTCACTCCTTTGCCAACCTATTAAAGCATTATGATTTGTTTAGAAATCATTTTCACATTTTCTAACACTTTCATGTGTACTTATTTACAGTTAATGTAGAACGAGGCCTTTTCAGCTGATCCAGAGCAGGCCCTTGCCTTTCTATTTGTTCCCCCCTTGTTTTTAAGAAGAGAATATTTTTGATGTCTGCATTTTCACTTGATTGAACCCATTGCCTTGTTATCCATTTGTCTTTCCGTGTAAATTTTAAGCTCTGTGAGGACCGGGACCATGTGTATCTTAACCGGCTTAATCTTCCCAGTCCCTGGGTCAGCGTCTGGCACATAGTAGGCCTTCAGTAAATATTTATACTCAATGAATAAAGAGTCAAACGCCAGCATTTTCACATTGATGTCTCACCATTACTTCAAACTTAAGGTGACAAAATCAAACACCTACTTTTTCTTCTTGATAATCAGCTCCATTTCTTAGTACTTTCCAAAATACCTTAATTCTTCTGTTCATTCCTACTTGAAACTTGATTCATTTATTCATTTTTTTATTTGTCCTCTCCTATAGCTAATGAGCCCCCAGGTTCTCTGAGTTCTGCCTTGGGCAAGTATATCAATGTCTTCTATCTCTCCATGTCCATGCCAATGATTCTCATTCAGACACTTGTCACCGTACCGTGGTTCCTGGGGATCACATCCAGGCTACTTTCCCTGGCTCCTTTCCTACCCCAATCCATCCTGGCTTCTGCGATGCCAAGGAAATTTAGATTATCCACCATCAGCTCACTCTTTCTTCACCTCAGATTTCTCTTTCTTCTCTTCTTTCCAAGGAACCCATTTCTGACTTCAGACAGTGCTCACCATCCCATGCTGTCCATGCTCTGTAAGCCTGCACTCACACTGGTGCCCTCACTGCCCTTGGGACCCTGCCCCCCTGCTTGCCAACATGTTCGTGATTTCCCCGTCCCAAAACATCTTCTTTCAATCCGGTTCTCTCTTCCAAGGGATTTTTCAATCTCTTAATTCCAGAACGTCTCAGAGTGGTCTGCTCTCTTATTCCCAGTTTCCATACCTGCCCCCAGGCTTTATTCCTTTTC